ACGAACTGCCCTTTGATATGCTATTAGGCATGTAATACCTCGAGGTTTCTCAACCTCAGTTTGATTGGGATAGAAAGGTGTTGATACACAAGCTTCCAAACGGTAGGACCGTTAGGCTGGAAAAGTATAAAGCTAGCAGTGTAGTGGAAAACTACGGTTGCATGTGTGCCTCCTCTTTCTATAACTACTATAAACAGAATCGCAAGGAGGGCATGTACTTAGTTTTTGTCTCTAAGAAAGGGGAGACCGTTAGAACACCCCCAGAGATAGAATCAGTTGTCGCTCAGTATTCCGACCTTTTTGAGGAGCGCACAGGCGTGGTAGAAAGGGAGGTTGTCCATGCAATAGAGGTGGTCCCAGGTAGTAAGGTGCCTAGAGGACGAATCTATAGGATGTCTCCTGCGGAGTTAGATGAGCTCCGCCGCCAGCTCAAGGAGCTCACAGAGAAGGGATGGATTCGGCCTAGTACCTCCCCTTACGGCGCTCAAGTCCTATTCGTACCGAAGAAGGGAGTACCCTGAGGATGTGCATTGACTATAGGGGTCTCAATGCCATCACTGCTAAAAACGCAGAGCCCCTACCCCGCATCGACGACCTACTGGATAGAGTGCAGGGATGCCGGTACTTTACTAAGATAGATCTAAAGTCCGAATACCATCAAATATGATATTGTGTATATTTGTATGAGATTCTATATTCAATAAATCTACTACATAACACTATTAGACCTGAGGATCAACACAAAACTGCATTTCAGACCAGGTATGGTCTGTACGAGTTTGTGGTGATGCCCTTTCAATGCCCCTAGTACGTTCCAACACGCAATGAATAGGATTTTTCATGATTACTTAGATAAGTTTATCGTTGTGTACCTCGACGATATCCTCATCTTTAGTAAGACTGCAGAGGAGCACGCTGAGCACCTGAATACAGTGCTAGGTCTCCTAAGACAGCACCAGTACAAGATTAACTTGGAGAAATGCGAGTTTGGTCGCACCAAGATCTTGTACCTGGGTCATGAGATTTCAGCAGATGGGTTGAGGCCGGAAGATGCAAAGGTGGCCAACATACGTGACTGGCCTAGACCTCAGACTGTTACTGAGGTCAGATCGTTTTTGGGAATGACAGGCTATTATCGTCTTGTCGTCAAAACTATAGTACGGTAGCCTCCCCGTTAACAGATCTAACTCGACTTGATACCCCTTGGGAGTGGACTGAAGAGTGTGAGGCAAGCTTCAAGAAATTGAAGTATGCTCTAACACACTATGAAGTTCTCAAGCTTCCAGATCCTGACAAGCCGTTTGTTGTGACCACAAACGCCAGCCAATATGGCATAGGCGTGGTCCTTGCCCCAACAGGAGGGGCCAAAGTTGAGACCGGTTGAGTACATGAGTAAAAAGATGCCTTCTCATAAGTTAGCTAAGTCCACATATGAGAGAGAGGTCTACGCCCTGTACAGAGCGCTAGTTAATTGGAGACTACCTCCTAGGAAGATTCTTCTATGTGAGGTCTGACCATGAGACTTTGCGTTGGATTAAGACACAGCCTGTACTATCTGACGCACTCAAAAGATGGATTCAAGTGATAGACATGTATGACTATCAACTTGATCCTATCAAGGGTACGTATAACAAAGTGGTTGATGCACTATCACGAAGGGCAGACTATTTGGGCGCGCTAGTCACTGAGTTCGGCATATCTGACGAACTCACTCGATCGCTGGTGGAAGCCTATCAGGGAGATCCAGTTATGTTAGAGATCATCCGTAGATTCCAAGCAAAAGACAAAAAGACTTTGGACGAATTTACGATGGTAGATGGCTTGTTGTTTGTCGAGAAGGCAGGGAATAAAAGACTATGTGCTACTAATAGTGAGTCTTTACGTAGTTTATTTTTAGGAGAATGTCATGATGTAACTGGTCATTTTGGCTATAGGAAGACATCAACGAACTTAGTGCAGAGATTCTGGTGGCCCTCTATGATAGAAGATGCAAAACCCTATGTTGAAACCTGCCAGGTTTGTCAAAGGGACAAACCAAGGACTCAAGCCCCGCTTGGGCTGATCAAGCCCTTGCCGGCTCCTGAAGGACCAGGCCAAAGTGTGTCCATGGATTTCATGGATACCCTGGTGACCAGCAGGTCTGGAAAAAGACACATCTTTGTTATAGTGGATCGCTTTACTAAGTATGCAAGACTAATCGCTGTGCCTGAAACTGCTAAAATTGACTTTGTCATCAAACTGTTCATGGACAACTGGGTAAGGGATTTCGGTCTACCTACGTCTATTGTTAGTGATAGGGATGTAAGATTCACGAGCGAACTGTGGCAGTCTACTGCTGAACAAATGGGCACAAAACTCCAAATGACTTCAGGGAATCATCCTGAGTCAAATGGTCAAGCGGAACAAATGAACCGAGTAGTACAGCACCTGCTTAGGCACTATATCAAGCCAAGTCAGGACGACTGGGATGAGAAACTACCTCTTGTTGCCAGCTTGTACAATAACGATGTGCATAGTACTACAAACATGACTCCCAACCAACTGCATCTTGGTTGGAAGCCTCGAACTGCCCTTGACTTTCTGCTACCAGAAAGAGAACCCACTGCAACACCCGGCAGCATAAAGTTTGCTGTCAAGTATGAGCAGATGCTGCAGCAGGCCGTTGAACATATCAAGAAATCTCAAGAAGCAATGATTGCATCTGAGAATAAGCATAGACGGCCTTCTAACTTTCGGGTAGGAGAGAGAGTCTGGATTAAGTCCGTTGAGCTTGGTCAAGAGTTAGGCATATCCCACAAGCTAATGCCACAGTACTTTGGGCCCTGGGAGATCTTAGACATTGTAGGAGATCAACCAGACAGTCATTCATATGTAATCTGCATCCCACCTCACTTACGTACCTACCCTGTGTTCCATGCCTCCAAGTTAGCACCTTTTGCTGCCGAGGAGCAGTTTCCCTCCGGAAGGTCAATGCTGCCCCCAACCATGGATGGCGAAGTGGACGTGGACCATATCGTTGAGCATTGAGTGATGCCTGTTCCTCGACCATCAGGCAGAGGGCGCCCTCCTAAACCGAGAATGTAGTATCGTGTGAGCTTCAGCCATCACTGGTTCACACGAGAAGAACTCATGAGAACAGCACCTCAAGTGATTGCAGGCTACGAAAGAGCACTCAAGGGGAAGATGCCTCCAGAATAATAGACTACTCAGAGGAGTCACGAAGTAAAGGAGGAGGGAATGCGAGGATCAGGGTCCTCTGGAAGCCTATGGGGCCCTGTTTACAGCATTGCCCACCCTAAGTGAAGGCGGAGGTGCCCGCCCTAAGTGAAGGTGGGCCTGACATATCACAAGAGGCCCTCGACTGTCAATTTCATATTTTTGGGGTCCAAGCAGTTGCGACGCGCCAGTTGGTTGAGAGAAACTCAGGCCGGGCAACAAAGACATTTCCACGCCCTTCCGGGTTTTTCCAAAGAATGCAGGCCCTGGGCGTGATTCGCAGCCTCATACAGAGACAGTTGGGCGCCCAACCAAACGAGGCCCAGCAGCCCAGTAGCTGCTGTACACAAGCAGCCTCCTGGGGCCTTCCGGAAGCTTCTGGGCCCAGGCCAGTGCTGCCAGGCTACACGAGCAGGCCAGCTCTTTCCATAAAGGAAAGAGCTTTCCCCTGGCAGCGGCATTCGGGCACTCGCATGCTAGCGGCAGCGCTGCTGGAGCAAGAGCTCGCGGCTGCTGGCTGGCGCTGAGAGGCGAGGTGCAGCACGTGCGGTCGTGCAGGGAAGAAGGGCGCTGCTGAGGGCAGCGCCATAGCCCATCCACCATAGCTGGTGGGCTTGGTCAATAGTGAGGCGCAGGGGTGGTCTTCGGGTGTAAGAGAGGACAAACGTGGGTGTAAAGTCAGGGGATAGGTGAAGGATGATGATGATGATGATGTGAGGGCACTTACCTTGTATTGGCGATGGTCTGCATGGGCGACATCTTCAAGTACTTCGGGTTGCTGCTGATGTCAACAGTTGCATTGTCAATTAGTAGGCTGTAGTAGCTGTGTTAGGAGTAGGCTGGGCGCTGAGCGCCAAGTAGGAGAGTGAAGGGACTAGACTCTTGT